TGAGTATATATGATTCTAATATTTTGTAAAGGCTTTTGTCGAACACTCTTTGTAATCTCATTCCTGACTGGCGTATTTTTAAAATCAACTCAATCCACTTGCGCAGTAGGTCTGGGTATAAATACTCATGTTCGATTGAAATTACTTGTCCCGCCAGCCAGTTTTTCAAGGTCACACTTCTCGAGGCCGTGCTGTCCGTAAAGGTATTTGCTATTGAAATGCTTTTCTTTTTTCATAACTTGTTATTTTTTCTCATAATTTATCATTTTCATTCTATTTTGTTATAAATTATGTATATTCTTTTTATAGACACATGCCATTGCCGTTTGTTGCTGTTTAATAAAGATTTAATCTAAACGTGACCTGGTCTTGTTACTGCTCGGTCACAATAATCATTACATTCAAACGACATTTGAAAGAAAACAATTCCGCAATTTGGTTTTTTTGTGCCAGTCAACTTACTGATGTATACCTTCCACTGGCGCATGCGCGCGTCGTATGACTTATTTTTTAAGTGGTTACCCATGCCCAATATAACCAGGGTTTGAAAGATAAACACTATTACCCATGCCAAATATAACCAGGGTTTGAAAGATAAAAACTATGCTGAAATTCCATGCAAAGGAGAAATATGGCTCCGACAGATGCACGATAGAGACATTGAAGATAATGAAAGTTTTCGATTTTCACTGTTGGGGTTATCGTCATATAAGATTCAATAAGTCATGAATTATTAGACAAAATCAAATGGGATTTTGGTTTAATCTTTTTGAAAGATAGTTTTAAAAGCAAGATAGGAATACTAAAAATATTTTAAGAAAAATAAATACCGTAAATCTGGAAATTTTTACGTCGATTTTATTTTGCGAATCCGGGTTAAAATGCTGTTGACTAATTTTTACGTTTCAAAATTTTGCGAATGACCACTGCTTTGTTGACATTTTCTTACTGATGATTTATTTTTAAGACAAATATTTTTGCGGATGCAATGAACTCGCAAATTTGCTAAAAATTTATCTACAGCTAAAATTTCCAGATTTACGGTATAATTCACCTCAAAAGTTTACCCTGCGTTTCTTTTTCCTTTCAGTATATTTCTAATTTTCTTTACGCATCGGGGCATATTTGCAGGACATGAGTGATGTTTTATTCGAAACTTTTAAATATTTTCATTATACTTTTCATTAATATCTTTCACAGAAAAGTCGCTGTTGAAAAGTACTATGTGTATGTCAAATCAAATTTGTACATCTAACAAATTTTTCTTTCTACCCCATTGAAAATGTGGTACTCAAAATTTTCATTGATTGGGACAACTTAAAAGACTTTTATTTAAATGAATGTCCGTTTCCATTCTCTAAACATATATTGTCAACAAAAATGTTATATCTAGATATGATGAAATAAAACGATTCTTTGACATTTCTAAGATATGTGAGGAGATATTTCAATTTTTTTTTCGAGAAAAAACTCTGTTGTATGTATTTCTATGTTACAACGGGACAAGTAGAAATCGACGTTATTCGCGTGCTAATGTATAAATTCCTTTGGAATATTTTAAATATTTGTATTTTTGTAAAAATACTATTGAGGAGGAAAAACCCTTAATTTCAATACTAGTACATGTATATAACCCATGTTTATTACCAGAACTATACTAGAAATGTAACCTGAAAACGGATTAAAAGCACAATTTCTTGTAAATAGTAATTCCTGACGTTATGTGAGTTTATTTGTAGGTTAACGGCATTTTAATAGTCCCTTATCTGAAAAACGTCTGAAACTCGTGAATTGTCATTCGGCTATTTATTCAAGACGGGTCGTTTAAAAAAAAAGAAAAGATTTAAGAAGATTATTTTTGTACAATGTACAAACTACCTAAAGAATTTTTTTTTACCGAAATCAAACGACAGTTTTTTCATTAAAAATATTAAATTGAAAACAATATTATATTTTCATGCTTAAATAAACCTTTATTTTTTTCAATTTAAGGTCTTCAAAAACTTTGTTTGTTCGTATGTACTTAAAAAAGATGACTTTATTTGTGTATTACATGGTTTAAAGAATAAGTCCGTGAAAGTTGACATCTAGGCTAACCTGGCTTTTTTTTTCTTTTTTTTTTTAAATCAAGGATTATATTGTTCATTGGTTAAAAATTTCTCTTCTCGTAAACAACTAAAGGAGGTAAGTTTTGGAACTTCCTGTCCAAAACCTTTCGAACGATTTTGTCCAAAATGTGCATATTTATAGTAGATATAGTCATGTATCAAATACCGGTACATGTATACAAAAACAGCGACAATTAAACCACAGACAATTTTTGGGGTGGGTGGGTTTGTTGTACATCCTTATTGTCCAAATTTGCAGTCTCGATATGAATAAAAACTTCTCCGTTAAGGACAGATGATATCGATACAAACAGACTTTTGTCAAAAATTTTGAAAATAACGACTAAAGGTAGGTCACTCGTCAGCCTAAGGAAAAGTTCACGCAGAACCTCTTACTTCAAAACTTTTTATCAAAATTCAATTTTGATAACATATTTAATTTCAACAATATTAATAGTTTAACATTTTAAAAAAAAAACTGCTCAAAAAGCTACAAAGAAGCAAGATTTGTGAGAGACTATTTTTTTGTGGTGGAAGGATTTTTAGTAGCATTTTCTGCAAATCTTCACATTTATTACATTTAATATCGTGGACTTTTTGCCTCACATACTTTTACTCGGAGAATATTTTCCATTATGACATTGCTAGGAATAATATAGGAATAATATAGGTCTTAATCTATATTTTTAGAACAAGTTTTACACCTTCCTTCAGTAAGATCGGAAGGCCCGGGTTCGATTCTCGTTCACGGCGCCGCGTCAAACCTAAGACGTAAAAATAGGTAGTGACTGTTCCTTCACCAAGCGCTCGGCATCAGAAGTGAAAGTCACGGGTCTTTCGGATGTGACCTAAAAACGTAGCTCCCAATTTGAAGCCCTTCACCGGCATACGGTGACGTCTCCATATGAGTGAAAAATTCTCCAGAGGAACGTTAAACAATATACAATCAATCAGTCAATCCTTCAACGAACTTTGCCATAAAATGAAGATATGTCGAATAAGTCAATATAAAATTAACCCCATTTTTGCCTGAAAATCACATATTTTGACCAATATTTCAAAATCAATATCACTGACCCCAACTTTTTCTTTCATTATTTTAAATTACTCGATACTTGTGACTGATCAGCACTTAAGTCGTAAAAACCATGATTTAAGAAAATGTTTTATTGCCTATTTAGTTTTTTAATACTCAAAATACGCTACTTTTTAGTGCAAAAAGGTCAAACAATAATTTACGCGCATTAGTTTGCAAGATTTTTTCAATGATAAATATTATTATTATTAGATAATATTTTTTGCCATGGTTACATCTGATAAAATATAATAAAGGTTTTAGTAATTAACCAAAGGGTTGAAAATTAAGTGCAAAAAAGTCAACTTCATTGTACCGTAGATCAGTAAGATGAACACTGTCCACCTATTTTTTCTGCGATTTTGAGTCACTCTATATGAGTACTTATCCAAAATATACTTCTCAATAAATCCTTGATTTAACAAATTTCACGAGTCACATACCTTAAGTCATGTTTTAATGAATAAAATGAATAAGTTTCATCGTATAGTTTTTAATTTTTTATTCAAAGTTTCACAGAAATGATATTTGAAGTGAAAAAGTTTTGAATAGAATAATATAATAAGATGGTTTCAGAACGACAGACTTTTGAACATCACAGAAGATTAACAATTTCTTTATATTCTAGAAAAATATTATTTGCATCATTTGCAATGAGATTAGGTGAAAAAATTTATACCAATCTAGGCATCCATTTGTTGTTTGTATCATCTGTCCTTATGCAACAGAGAAACTAAAACAAACCAATATCACAATATTGTTTTTGTTGATATAATGATTTTACATTATGATATCATGCATGTACAGAATTTATTTTTATTTAAGATAACATTAAAAAGTAATACACGTGAACATAATAAAATGCAAACATAATCAAATTAAATAAATAAAAACATTGTTTTTGTATGTCAAAGGTTTTAGCATAACAAATCAACATAGGCCCTTGTAAATGTGTTTAAAAAACTTTATTCGGTAATAACCAAAATTTGCCCCCCCCCCTCCCCCCAAAAAAATCAAACTTTGACGGAGAAATATTTAATTATGTTCTTAAACAGGGGAATATGTGCTGACTTCAAAACACTGAACATTTTCATAAGCAATGACGTCTTATGCTTGAAATGACGTCACAAAAATGACGTAAATTTAAAATTTCCATGATTTCTACAGAAACATGTACATATTGCGTCGATATTTTGAGTAAAAATCACCGAGTGCAGATCTGATCAGGCTCAATATTTTGATATAATGTGTAGAATGATAATACCAGTAAAATATGTAAAAATTGTTCCTGAGCAAACTTGCGCATTATAAATTTTGAAGGGTAAATTGTTGAAATTTTATCCATTTTGTTTTCTTTCTTAAAATTGATTTAAAATCAGACATGTTTGTGACGCCATAAAAACAAAAATTGTCAATAAACTACTTTAAAACTATATTATGTTCTGTTAATTTTTATTTCTTATACAATTTATAAAATTCAGCACATTTCAAGAATTTTTCAAAATTTTACTTTTGTGGGGGCAAAGATATGCAGTATACCGCATATAGTTCTTTACGTCATTTGCATGCATAATACATAAAGCGAGGTATTACAAAGTAAATCAATCTTTATTTAATCCCTTACCTTGTAATTGTCAATGATTAAACACAACATTTGAATGATGTCTCCCAACATATTTTTGTATGTTCAAGAGAATATGGATATGAAGTCTACTTTAACTTTTCACACGTTTATTTATGCTACCTGATTTGAACGATCTTTATATTTGTGTAAAAATCCTAACATACCGTTCATAATCAGGATTCGCAAGGTTTTATCATTTCGTTTTATTTATCTCAGCACCCTGATTGAAAAACATATTAATAACAAATTTGTTATTTTTTTGCGTCGCAATATGAAATGGTGAAATACCATAATTATCACATTTATTAATATCAGCGCCGTGTTCCAGGAGTGTTTTCACATTTTGGATTTTGATATTACTAACTGCAATATGAAGAGGGGATTGGCCATGAATATCACATCCATTTACGTCGGCTCCATGTTCTATAAGCATTTGCATGTAGGTACTGTCTTCACGTTCAATTGCTAAATATTCTGGGCATTTTCCATAATTGTTACATATGTTTACCTCAGAACCATCACCAAAGGTACGTTTCAAAGCGTTTATGTCATATTCACCTCGTTTAATTGTGTAAATTAGAAAGTAGTTTTTATTTATGTCACATATGTTGCAATCTTCACAATGACTAGCAAGTTTCTGCATCACTGGAATTGTTGTTATACCAGTTGCAATAAGTAATGGAGATTTTCCATCTTTATCACACAAGTTGACATCTGCTCCGTGATCAATAAGAATCTGTAGAGAAGAAAAATGTCCTTCATCAATTGCAACAAATAATGGGGATTTGCCATAATTATCACATATGTTGACATCAGCTCCGTGATTAATGAGCATCTGTACACCAACAGTGTTTCCTAATTCAGCAGCAATGAATAATGGTGTTTGGCAATTTTCATTGCATTTATTACAATCTGCCCCGTTTGCTAATAAGTTTTCGAGAATAAGAAGTTCACGCTGTTTAAACTTGTATTCACTCACTACTGCATGTAGTGGAGACGAACCATCTTCATTACAACTATTTACATCTGCACCGTGTTTTATCAGTGTTTTTACCACTGTATTATGACCCTCTTCAACTGCTAAATACAAAGGGGAATTTTCATCGTCATCATAGCAATTAAGATCGGCTCCGTGCAGAATTAACGTCTCTACTACAGAAGAAATTCCTGTTATACCAGTTGCTGCGAGTAAAAGTGGAGTTAGCCCATGTTTATTTTCGGCGTTGCAATCAGCACCGTGTTCGAGCAAACTTTTCACTATCAAGGCATGTCCATTTTCCGACGCTAAATGTAGTGGGGAATTGCCATATTTATCTTCTATTTTGATGTCAGAATTATTTTCAAGCAGATGTTCTACTATGGATATACAGCCATTTTGTGCAGCTAAATGAAGAGGCGAACGTCCCTTTTTATCTACTTGGTTGCATTCAGCCCCATTTTGAATAAGTTTTTCAACCACGCATAAATAATTTTCTAAAGAAGCCAAATGTAATGCCGTTTCTCCATTTTCATTACAATGGTTGAAATTCTTCATGAGACTTATTAGTTTACAGGCCACAAAAACATGACCAGAGGATATAGTATCCAGCAGCAAATTTCCCTTTTGGACTTCATTATATGTAAAATCAAACCAGTGTTTAATAAGTATCTGAAGAACATTCATATGTCCATTTACACATGCTGCATACAGAAGTTGGTAGACACAATCATTAAATTTGATAAAATTTACCTCATCCTCAATCAATTTTAGAACAATATAGAGATAACCCTTTTCCGTTGCAATAAGTATCGGCGTCTTTCCTTCCTCATCGCAAAGTGTGCAATCGGCACCAGAATCAATAAGTTTTTCAGCTAAAAATAAATTTCCTTCCCTTAAAGAACGATGTAAAAGCAAATGATTTCTTTTATTTGAAGCAAAGTTAAATTTGGCACCGTTATACAATAATGCTTTTACTATTGCCGTATGCCCATTTTCACAAGCCTGAAAAAGTGGTGACTCCCCTTCCTTATTTAGTTTCCCAATCTCTGCACCATTCCTAATTAAGATTTCTGCAACAGTCAAGAAACTGTTCTTTGATGCATAACTCAATGGCGATTCTCCAAATTCATCAACCTGATTAACATTCGCCCCATATTTAATAAGCATTCTAACAACATTCAGAAGATCATTCTTAGATGCACAAATCAGCGGTGACTCTTCATTTTTATCAAATAAATTGACTGTAGATCCAAGTTCGATTAATCTTAAACTTAGGTTTTCGTTCCTCTCTTTTATAGCAATTAGTAAAGGCGATTTTCCTTTCAAATTAAATTGATTGCATCTGGCACCATGGCTTATCAATTTCTCAGCAACACTCTGAAATCCAAGTTCGACTGCGTAATGAAGCGGGTAATTGCCAACAGCATCACAATAGTTGACATGTGCGCCTTTTTCAATAAATTTTTCGATAATATTCAAAACTGCTGTTGGTGTCTGGGCGGGGTCTTTAATATTTTCATGATCTTTGACCAATACTTTACATAATGAGGATTTTACACAATCCTGGTATATGTCACTAGCTACAACGAGTGTGCTGAGTTTTTCAAGAACTTTCCATTGTCCTCTTTTAATCGCATAGATAAGTGAAGAGTTGTAATTTTCCCTTGAAGAGTAAATATCTGCACCATTTAGGATAAGTTTCAACGCTATATCCTCGTGTCCATATTTCAAGGCACAAATCAATGGTGTTTCACCAAACTTATCAGTGGTTTTACAAGTAGAGCCATTTTCGATTAATTTCTTTACCACTTCTAAAAATCCATTTTCTGTTGCTGCATGGATTGGTGTTTTACCACAACTGTCACATAAATTGACCTTGGCTCCATTTCTGATAAGTTTCTCAACAATTAACACACACCCATTACCCGATGCGATATGGAGTGGCGATTTGCGAGACTTATTACAGAGATTCACGATTGCCCCTCTTTCAATAAGCACTTCGACAACTTCTAATGCGCTGTGTTTTGAAGCATAACAGAGTGGAATATCTCCGTTTTCATCACACGCATTAAAATCAGCGCCATTTATAATTAATGCTTTTGCCACAGACCACATTTGATTCTTGCATGCACTCAGCAGCGGAGAGATTTTATCTTTATCACATATAGTAATATCAGCTTTATTGTCAATAAGCGTTTGTATGAGAAAAAGCAAATCGTCTGTTACATCTGCAGTTTTATCAATGGAATTGTCATGAGGGTCAATTGCAAGATGAAGTGGAGTACATCGTTCAACGTCACACTCATTGCAGTTAGAGCCTCTCTTTAATAATAATTTTACAACTTGTAGGAGATGTTTTTGAGAGGCAACGTGTAAAGGAGTTCTTCCTAAAAGATCTTCTTTGCTATTACAGTTAGAGCCCTTCTCGATGAGGTATCTCGCTATCTTATCATTGCCTTTTCCAATTGCAATGTGGAGTGGAGTCCATTTGTTTGGTAAAGTCGAGTTTAAGTTAGCACCCTGCTCAAGGAGCAACTTTATTATGTGAAAATTTGCCCCCTCACAAGCTTTGTACAAAGCCCAATCAAGACAGCTCTGAAACTGTCCCCTTTTCTTCAAAATGTCTTTACACGAACCATTCAATATTTTCAAAACAACAATTTTGTTTCCATCGAGGGACGCCTGCTCCAAAACTTTTTTGATATCAGCTCCATTTTCCAGCAACGTTTTTTCCATTTCCAAATTATCCGATTTCATAACAGAATATAATGGAATTCTGTAATCTACCTCAGCACCAATCTCGATCAATTCTTTCACAAAAGTACAATCGCTGGACAAAATTGCTGCTTCCAGTGGTGTCCTGTTGTCCCCATAAACAAAATTTAGAGATGGAATAGACTCGTGTTCATTCGACTCGCAAACATCTCTTTTTTGCACATCATGTAAGATCTCTTTCACTAAGGGAAGATTCCCACATAAACAGGCTGCCGTCATGACCGTAAAGCCAGATGCATAAAAACTGTCGTCATTTGTGTTAGGTGACAATATGAAGCTGTCAAGGTTTTTTCTATATATTTCTTTTTTCACATCTATGTCAAACGTACATCTACTTGATGCAGTAGTACTATCTGCAAAAACCTCCACATATGGAAAAAATCGTATAATCGAACAGTACATGTCAACATTGCCACTAAAACAAGCGAGTTTCACCATTCGAATGTTTTCATTTTTATTTTTGCCGATCACGTTTTCATGAGAATCTCCATTTTCTATAGCAGAATTTAGAACAAATTCTAGAATTCTTCTATGACCATAAAAGATGGCCCAGCTTATTACCTTAAACTCTGAATGGAGCCAGGTTGATGTCATCGCTCTTACATCAGGACATCTCAGAAATAACAACTTAATTTCATCATATGTTTTACTTTGTAAGTGATTTATGAAGGCGTCAACAAAGATTTTGCTTTGTAGGGCAGTACTTCTAAAAACATCAGACATACTGTTGTTATTTATATCCTGCAGAAGACGTTCTGCAAGTGTATGGAATTTGGATTTTTTCATTAACACCCCAGTCATTGTTTCATCCAAGAACGCATCATCGAACTTGATATTTGTGGACAGAAATTTACAAGGTGCATACTTAATTATGTGTGTAATGAATTTTCTTGCATAATGACAGAGCAAGATATCTTTGATTGACAGATCAATGAACTGATATTCACCATCTGATTCCATTACAAACATTTCACAAAAAGCCGAAAGAGATGTCATAAAAGACCAAACATTCGGATAATGAGACACCTCACAGGCCTGACAAACATTTCTCATAATTTCGATAAATCTGCTGTCTTCAAAACTGTCTTCTGTAAATGCACAATTACTAAGAGCTAGGATAACTAAAACTGCATATTGATTCTTGTTTTCCGTCATGATAACATCAAATATTTCCCCTAAAGTGTTATTGTAACAAATGAAAAACCCATTCCCAAAATCTCTAAAGTGTTCAGAAGAGCAAAATAATTTACAAAGAAAGGGGAACATTGATATTTTTTCGGATTCAAAGCTATTCTGTAACATGTCGGAAGAATCGCTCAAATTTTTAATTTCACAATGTTTTTTAAAAATCAACTTTCTGTCCTGGGCATTTAAAGCAAATTCCTTTGATTCTAGATCTACAACATACTTCTGATCAAAGAAAAAATATTTCATACAGTGTTTTGATTCATTGAAAGCCGTTCTTTGACATGTTAGGAATAGCTTTGAACCCCCAACGAAAAGACATGCTTGGATTTTGTCTTTCTTAAAATGAATCGTTCTTGCTGTCTGATCATCAAGACACCAGACACCAGTAGCATTATATAAGATAAATAATTGCTTTAAATTTATGTTCAAAAATGTTTCCATTTCATCAATGTTATCTAACAACACAATCTGATAATCATCAAGTTTAAGTGCTATGTGCTGTAATGAGAATTTTTTCCCACTTCTAGGTCCACCGAGAAATACCACAATAGGCTGTTTTCTTACTATGTCCATAATCTCTGGAAAGGCATGCGATTCTACAAATGATATATCTTCTTTTTTCCACAGACTTACACTGCTTTGACTAATTGCTTTAAAAGAAAAAAAATATTCTTAATTAATTTTATTTAAGAAAAAAAAATACATAGATCAAACCCTAAAAAATTATAAATAGATAAATAAATAATGAATACATTGACCTTTTGTCTAGTAATAGATATATATCTAAAAATTTGTACTCTTCTTTTTGAAAATAATTAAATAATTAATTGCATCTTGTAGAAAAGCTCGGTCGATAGCTTCTCTATCAAGTCGATTAACACATGTTTCTGCAGATTAACCCGACAAAAGGGCTTCATCTACTGTAAAAAAGGAAATTTTAACGACGATATAATTTAACTAATTTGACGAATAACTTATTTCGTCCAAGAGTCCTCTCATCAATCAAGGCATATTTACGAATCGTTATTCTTACCAAATTCTATCGTCTTGTTATCCATTAATATATGTATCGTATTCATCTAGTACTTAAAGATAAATAAATAAATTAATGAGAGTGAATGAACGCAGAATTTTACCTAGCACAAAGCTAGTTCCAGGTTTGATAAAATAATATTTCCATTTCTATTTGTTTTGTTTGTGATAATTCTTTGAAAGTTAGTGGAGGTGATTTCTTGATCATTCTACCGGAATGCAAATTCGCCAAGCGATAGGTTTGGAGCTAGGAAGGCCTTTTCATAAACATGATTAATCAAGGGAAACAATTCAACAATTGGGGTTTAAAAGCCCATGATATACTTTAAATAGGTCATAGGTATCCAATAATAAAAAAGATACTTGTTCCATATACTTTTTCAAAATTTCTTTAATAAATTAAACAATATGCGTTTCTTTTTTTGTTGAGTATATATATTTTTACATGACATGCATTAGAAGGCCCTGTTTGCTCCTGAGGATATGCAATTAATCCCCCCCCCTTCGCCCTCTGGACAATTTACTTTTTAAAAGGCAGAAATTAAGAATAAGTTATAAAAATCAATTCTTGCTATATAAAACATGCCACTTGAATAAAGAATATGATTCAAATAATAAAATTCCATCATCTTTAACTTTTTAAATTAAAATTGGGTCTATGAGCTACAAATTGCATTGCACACTAGTTATGCAATTTATATCCTCTACTTTAATCTTTTAATAACGTTAAAGTGTGTGCTTCCAAGCTTTCTGTCCAGAATTATACTTGTCTAGATACCGTATAAGTGGAAATTTTAGCTAGACGCAAATTTTAGCAATTTCTTTCTAAAAACTGATAAATCATTTTTAGCGAGAATTAATATTAGCTATTTTTAAAACGGTTACTAGAGATGTTATTGGATATATAGCACAATTAATTTTTAGCAATAATCAATTCTAATATCAGTACCTTTGCTAATAATGCAAAATTAAGATCATGCTAAAATGTCTACTTAAACGGTTTCTTATGCTTTGTGACTGTCAATCAATGAAAAATACAGTGTCTTTCGTTCATTGGTAAAAGGGCTATATTTACATGAACGGTCTTATTCTATACCACAGGTAAAGATTTGCTTCTTTCGTTTTGAGAGACAGCCTAAATTTCAACGTTTCTTTCTTTCTTATTTCTGATTTATATTTCGATTTTTTTATATTTCGCATTTCCTTAGTATTTTTCGAAGTTTTGTTTTCGTATTTTGCATATCTTTTATATACACATGTTTGCTTCTATAGATAGCTTTTTTATTATATAGTATACAAATATGGACACAATTTAGGTCAATATGCAATTATAATGACCAGGGAAGACATATATTGACCAAAGATACATGGAGTATATCGACCCAGGTCGCTAAACCGAGATCCATATTCTACATCTGTCATATTGGGTCATTATAAATGCATACTGACCGTGCATATATGCTGTCATTGATAGTCATACTAAATGCTACTTATATTCTATTGGTAAAACAAATTAATTCATTAATTTTTCGCCATTTTATAAACTTTTATTATGATTAATGATTTTCCTATTTAACAGTTTAATGTCAATTGTTTTTATCGACATGTTGTAAATCCGAGTTTCCTCCATAAGTGTGTGGAACGTTAAGTTAACAAATAATGAAAGATTGACACACAGAAAGCCCATTCCGAAATAGCGTTGTAAATAACCTATGTTTTATGTTATTCCGACATTGTAAACACTAGTAATATCTTCCAACTGACATAACTCCAACAAGCGGAGCTGCGCCCTCTGGTGAAAGATTGGTGCTAAGTCATCTGAGTGGAGATGTCCCGAAAAATTGATTGATTGTTGCCTGACGTCACGGCGTCAGGCTATATAAGGATTGATAATTGCTTTATCCGAAACTAATAGATCATACCCAGAGAGCTAGATTTTGTGCAAGCTGATTTACATGTGAAACCTTTACCTGCATTTTAAAAGAAACATTTTTCAGGGAAACAATGATTTTAATGATGCAAAATAATGTAGTATTTACTTTGTTTACTCTGTTTGCAAGAAACAGATTATTCCATGTGATTTACCGTTTCAAAGTGTCCTTGTATCTTTTTTTCTGCATGTCTATACTACTGGATCAGTCCATTTATATTCTACGAAAGGGGTGAATCGCTCTTTTCGCGCCAAATGTCACGAGTAAGCGATCTTCGCGCCTTTTCTTGGATTGTTCTATTGTATGAATGGGGGTGCTAACTTCCATGAAATTAAATAAAGTATGTTATAATTTATTGTAACCCCCATATCTTCTTATGATTCAGAAATTCTGTCTACAAATTTTATCTTATTCCTTAAAACAACATATGAATCGTATGTATCAGAATATGGACATGCAAAACAAAAGAAATGATTTCTCTAATTTGTTTCCCCTCTGTTGGTTTATTCCAAATTTTAATGGACTAGTCCAATCACCACAAACGATCGACGCAGTTCAACCAGATTCAAGACGATTTGACGAAAGAAATTACCTGTGCGAAATCTTCGATTTCTTTTCCAGAGGCCTAAATGTTGTTTTCACCTATTTTGTTCTCAAAAAATGCTAGTATATACCCATCTTTCAGAAAAAAAAGATCAATGAGCATAAACTACTACTTTTTACTTCTTTGGAGAAAATACTTTCCTACAACATATGTATTTAGTTATATCCATTCTCTAAAATGTTCACAATGAATGATTTCACAATAGATTTCAGAATAGGTGTAGCTTTAAATTTAGATCCAGGGGTAGATCAATCTACTTGCAGAAAAGTAAATTGCATCATCTCGTGTCTTTTCGTCAGAGGTCGAAAAACAAACTCGAATGTATCGACATCATCGGATGTTTAAATTTTTACATTTCCTGTTCATAGTAAAAACGGAGCTAGAAGTCCCTTCTATAGTATTTTAAATAATATCATTACATTGAATTAAGTTAACTCCATATTCCACAGATAATAGGTCTATATACATCATCCATGCTTATATTTCAAAGTTTGTGAAAAAGGGAGGGGGGGGGGTCATGGCGTATAAATTAACAATACATTTGTGGTCTTCTTCCCTAGATAAGACCCGATTGGCAGAAAACCCACATACATTAACCATTCTGTTAACAACTCTTCAGAATGCAGCAAAGGCACTGTTCCTCTACAAGTTAAATTATTAAATATTTTTACAAGGTTCTCAAATAAAAAGATATATTTCAAACACAAAAAAGTATTGCTCAAAAGGTTTATCACTTCTCTTACAGATATTGATTGATTAAGTCGGGCAAGCTTTTTGAAAAGTGTTACTTGTATATTGTTTAACGTCCCTCTCGAGAATTTTTCGCTCATGTGGAGACGTCACTGTATGCCGGTGAAGGGCTTCAAATTTAGACCTATACTCAGCGCTCAGGGCCATTAAGCAGTGAGGGTTCTTTATCGTGCCAGCACCTACCCTGACACGGGACCTACGTTTTTAAGGTTATATCCGAAAGACCTGTGACTTTCACGTCTGATGCCGAGCGCTTGGCAAAGGAACAGTCACAACCTATATTTTTACGTCTTAGGTTTGACGCGGCGCCGCGAACGAGAATCGAACCCGGGCCTTCCGATCACGAAGCGAACGCTCTACCACTAGGCTACCGCGATGACCGAGCGACAACCATGGTAGGGCTGATGCCAGTTAAAAAGTTAATGAAGAAATAGGAAATCAAGAAATTCAAAAGAATAATACGGCCTTAGAGGCTGTTTAAGATTGTTGCTAAAGACAGCAAGCTTTTTAAAAAAAGCTCTACTTGTTTTTGAATACATCGACAGCGCTTAGCACAATAAACTTCCGGTGCAAGTCTAATTGCAGGAAAGGGGAACGGATCGTACGTCATTTCTCTAGGAATGTAATTCGATATAAACAGCGGTCAGCTG